TAGACAAATAAATCGGGCCCCCATGCAAATAACAAGCACATCCACTCAACCCTTTCAGCGAATATCCTTAGATATAGTCGGGCCACTACCTGAAGCAGGTCCCGCCAAATTGAGGTACATACTAACCATCCAAGATGATCTAACAAAATTCTCTTCTGCTTACCCGATTCGAACCACTACTGCAGAAGAAACTAGTGAATGTCTTCTTCACTATATATCTATCTTTGGCATTCCAAAAATGATCCTCACAGATCAGGGAACTAACTTCACATCGGACCTATTCCGCAAAACTTGTGAATTCCTTAAAATAAAGAACCTTTGGTCCCCGTACCATCCGCAGACGCAAGGCGCCCTTGAGCGCAGTCACTCGACTCTCAAAGAATACCTTAGATCTTTCGTAAATGAAGAACAGTCCAACTGGCCCAGATACGTGTACACAGCCATGCTTACCTATAACACATCCGTTCATTCAACAACCAATTTCACCCCATTCGAACTAACTTTCGGAAGCAAACCTCTGATCCCAAATTCTATCTATGACGAAGCCCCAGGAGCAACTTACCCTGACTATGTCCGCATGCTTCAGAATAGATTAAAGTATTGTAGAGACAAAGCCTTGGACTCCATAAGGAGATCCAAAGAAACTTCCAAAAATTACTATGACACTCGCACTCGCCCTGCGAAATACAAAGTCGGTGATTACGTGTACCTGAAGAATCACCTGCGAATGCGCAAGGCACTTTCACCACAGTGGAAAGGGCCTTACAAGGTAATTAGAATCAACGGAAACAACACACTTACCTTACTCATCAACCGACGTCACGTCATACATCATTATGACCAAGTGAAGCTGGCAGAAGCAGCTCCGTAATTTAGGAAATAAACACATAATCTTAAAATTACTCTAGACTTACCTTAGGTTATCTTTACAGTTCAGCTCAGAGTCAACCTAACCAGAGTTTCATCGAGCCAATCAACTCTAGTTCCGGACTCTACTTCGATTATTTAGGAAAGCTACGAATAAACAATATTGAACTTAGTATAGTAATACCTGTAGACATATCTCATTTCAAACCACATATTGATAATATCAAATCAGCGCTTTTAGTTACTGGAAATTTATGTAAACAAACCAGAATTATAGAGATTATCTCCATTTGTTATAATAATTTAAAACCATTGTCGGCCCGTTTCCAAGATATGAGTAAGGAATTAACATCAATCTCACATTTAATTGATAACAGGACAAAACGTTCCGCCTGGGTTAGTGGTGCAGGAACAATCTTAAAGAAAATATTCGGCACCCTAGATGAAAACGATGGCCTACAATATGACGAAACTATCAAAACATTACAACTCAATGAAAAGAAATTAGCTTCATTATTAAAAGAGAATATTTTAATAACCACTTCTGTTTTAACTCAGTATAACGTTACATTAAGTAAAATAATAGAGAACGAGGCAAACTCAAAAGAAGCCATTGATAGACTTTCAGTGAGTGTTAGAAACATTACTGAAACCACAAATGGTTTACAAATACAAACAAATGTCAATGAAGTTATCAATGCCCTCGAGACATCGATACTTACTCTATCTTTTCAACTAGAAGATATCACTAACGCTATCCTATTTAGCACCCAAAATATTTTACACCCTGCAATAGTAACCCCTACACAACTCCACAAGGAACTAGTAGATAACTATAGACATTTACCCAGTGACCTTGAGTTGCCTGTATCTTTAGATATTAAGTCCATACATGTTATTTTAAGTATTTCTAAGTTAGTTTGTTTCTATACTAGTAATAAGGTAGTTTTTATATTGCAAGTGCCAATGGTAAAAACTCAAGAATATCTGCTATTTCATAATATTGCATTACCAACACCACACAATACTTCAAACCCAAACACTTTCAGTTTAATTCTCCCTGATAACAAATACATAGCAATGACCAAAGACAAATCCTACTATTGTGTTTTCAATAGTTTGGAAATTTGTAAAATAGTGACTTCTGGAAATTATATCTGTGATATTGAAAATGTGTATTCTACTGATGCAAAACCTACATGTGAAAGTGAACTCCTTACCAAGGTAATTAGCGTGAAACCTGCTCAATGTCATACGAAGATCCTCATTGGAAAGGTAAATATCTGGAAATCCCTGATCAATAATAAATGGATCTTTGTACAGTCAAAACCTAACAAAATATCGATAGACTGTTTAAATAACAAATTAAAAGAAACCACCATTTCAGGTACAGGGATATTAAGTATCCCCAAAAATTGCATTGTCCACTGTAAAGCTACCACACTTATACCTAAACAAAACAATTTTAATATAACTTCACCAATCAGACATTTTCCAGATTTTAACTTAATTGAAGACTCTTGTTGTTCCATAAAAACAGTATATGAAAATGCCAGTAATATACTCCCTGTAAAACTAAATAACATAGACCTAGATGATTTACATACCAATTATAATGATAAGATAAAGTCTATTTTAAATGACCTTGAATTTGTAACAAATCCAACAACCCCTCATATTGTAACATATGGTAAACACTATTCTATTGTAACACTGGCAATTGTAATCTTTATACTTATATTTCTTAATTACCTAGTTTATAAGAAAATTTGTCAACGATATAACCGTTCCCGTAGGAATAGAGCAAATATTTGTATAACATCATCTCAGCCTGAACCTTCAATAGAAATGACAGATAGACAAACAGGTTTCGAAGATAGTACACCTAATACAAGTAATATTGCTCCACTTAGGGTAATAATATAACAGAGACTTTGAACCAACCCCAAAGCCTCTTCTTAAAGGGGGAGGTGTTATATCCCTGATATGTAAGGGTTTATGCTGGGATGACATAAGAAATGCATCATCATCATTATTATATCTTAACGTGTAAGGTGGCATGCCAGACCCCTCAGTCTGAACAAGATCTCCGAACGGTACGGTTGTATACTCAGTCCTTTAATTAATTAAAATAGTTTTAATATAAAATTAGTTTTTTTTTAAAAAGAAATCCTAAAGGACTCTCGTAACAGTACGCTAACATTGTGTGATATCTGATGCGTATTGTGTGTGTAATGTGCGTGTGAATAATATGCTAACGTAGGTATTAATTATTACACATGTGTTAGAGACTCATGATATGCCAACGCCGTGCCTATGTCATGTAGTCGTTATAGCAGAGATAGCTAACGTCGTGCTTCCTCTCTGAGTATGTATTATGATTGTGAACTATGCTAACGTCGTGCCTATGGTTCACTATTGATTGTGTTTTTTTTTCTGTGTTCGTGACTCATGATACGCTAACGTCGTGCCTATGTCATGTAGTCGTTATAGCAGAGATAGCTAACGTAGTGCTTCCTCTCTGAGTATGTTTTAGGATCGTGAACTATGCTAACGTCGTGCCTATGGTTCACTATTGATTGTGTTTTTTCCTGTGTTCGTGACTCATGATACACTAACGTCGTGCCTATGTCATGTAGTCGTTATAGCAGAGATAGCTAACGTAGTGCTTCCTCTCTGAGTATGTTTTATGATTGTGAACTATGCTAACGCCGTGCCTATGTCGTGTAGTCGTTATAGCAGAGATAGCTAACGTAGTGCTTCCTCTCTGAGTATGTTTTATGATTGTGAGCTACGCCAACGTCGTGCCTCTAGTTCACTATTGATTACTTTATTGTGTTGGTGGACTTATGATATGCAAACGTTGTGCTGTCATGTAGTTGTTATAGTAAGAGATAGCTAACGTAGTGCTTCCTCTCTGCCTGTATTTTGAATTATTATGGATCAATGTGTACATGTAGTTGTTTGTGTCGGTAACCAACGATTCCCGATGCAATTTTTATAATTTCAGGTGCAGAAGGTATTGAACTCACACGTCACGTTTTTTGGTAATTGATAAGATTAATGATTTAATATGGGTCGATGTGTTCTTCGGAAAAAAACCGGTGTCCCGACCAATCCTTATGTTCTCAAGTAATGATTAAGTATGTTGTTTCCATGGATCATGTGATACGGTAATATGATGCCTATCATGTGGTCCACATTAACCGAGATAGGTAATGTTGTGCCTCCTCTCTGGCTATTTTTTTTTTGTGACCTGCGCTAACGATTTAATATGGATCGATGTGACCGCCGGTAACCACCGTCGTCCCGATCCAATTCTTATGTTCTCAGATGCAAACAGTATAGAGTTCACAGCTGAACAAGCTGCCAGAAGCCGCGGTGATGTCCTGCTACGGAGCGTGTGCTGTAAATATGCGACAGTGCGACACAGGAGCACGAGGAGTGCTCCAGTCAGGAGAGGGCCGTGTTAGAAGCATAGACAAAAAGAAACGAAATGTCATCGCGTAGCGGGAAATATAATCTGTGGTTTCGAACAATGAAAAAGTCAAGATGGCGGAACTCGGAAATTATTGAGACGGTGTATTTGGTGTTGAGGGAATTTTATTCTATTTGAAAGTCAATTTGCCTATTTATGTGTTATTGTTGTTGTTTTTCTTTCCAATTAATAGTTATGGTTTAGCTAATTCTGAATTTGTAATTTGATTTCGATGTTAACAATATAAGGTGAATTCATGAATTGTAATGGTGGTACTCTTTATTTCTCCTGCCTCCTGAGTTTCTAAAATCCAATGTGGTATAAAACAAATAAGTTACTAACATCAAAGAGTAAGGTGAACTCTATGACAGTTTTTAAGTTTTCTAATAATATAATATGCCAGAAAAAAATATTCATATCCGGGTTTATTGATCCTATTCACAAGGTTACTAAAGTTTTCGACAGCTTAGTTTTAGTTAAATGTAAAAAATCTAATTATATTAATTACATAAATTGTAATGATTTTTACATATTTAAAAACAAGATATCAATACAAAAGTTGTTCATTAAAACCTTATGATAAAACCTACCATTTTTGGGAGATTTATTTAATGTCATAAATATAAAGTGGTAACACTAGCACATGCGCGAATAAATGTCAAAATTCTTGTCCATTTTTATTCAAAAATCATCTGGTTATCTGGACACAAAACACATAATACTTGCGATGTCTAAGAGAAGTAGTTTCCACAAAACTCCTAAATTTAAGCCCGAAGTGAAAGTGATTAATAGTAAATCCAAACCAACTATAAACATGTCTTTCCGAACGAAGAAAGTTGAAGTGTTACCCGAGCCTATCAAGTCTGATGCTGATAAAAAACTATACAAGTGAGTCGCTTTAATAAATTAATAGTAAACAAATAATTTAAACGATAACTACACCGTTTCATCGACAAATAAATGTTAAATAAAGACTACCTACATTTATATAAAAATATAACCAATTAACTAAATAATTTTCGTGTTGCTGCAGAACTATTCGCCTGGAGAATGGTCTAACAGCGCTTCTGATATCGGACTCGAGCCGTCTAACTATTGGTAACGAGACCAGCTCCAGTGAGGAGGAGACCAGTGGCTCTGATGAGACCACAGATCCTGAAAGTGAGAGTGGAAAGTCTGGAGTATCTACTGGCAGTGATCATCATGGCATGAAGAGACGCGGCGAATATGACGAGGAAAAACTGGTCAGTACTCTAATAATTCCTACTTAGTAAAATGCAACTGTCCACATATGATTTTTCTCTTTAAAAGAAATTTTTCATTCATAAATGGAATTTACGAATGTATAGGCTTATGTAAGTTCAAACAAGTTGTAATGGTATAACATGAAACTGGTTGACAAAATAATTTGAGTGGGTTACTCAACTGGTTTGCTATTATTATGCAACATAAACAGCATTCTTTGTTTACATAATGCATATTCACAAAAAAAAAACACAACAATTATATAGGAATTTAGAAGCTAATTAGTTATTTTAGGTGATATTAGGAATGTTATGATTAAGACATAAAGCCATTAATTTATTGATGAAATAAGTAAATTACTATTTTATTACACTTTTAAACAGTTAACAGCAAGAGATTTACCTGAATCTCATAAGAATCTTATCAGTTTATAGATATTATTATTTTAATCTAATTATTAAACAACAAACTTCAACTTTACAATAATATTTTTATGGATATAATAAATGTGGCATTTTTATGTACATGGGTTGACCAACTGTTTGTTACATGGGGATCATACTGATACTAGTGGAAACTGGGTCACATTCTAAATGTGCACTTCTGGGTATTTCCTCAGAGATCAAAAGGTTGTTTACAATAATAATAAATAATATATATACTTTATTGTTCACCACACAATCATATTATAGGATAATATTAACAAAAAGAGTATACAATGGGTGGTCTTATCGCACAAGGCGATTTCTTACAGACAACCTTTGCATGGAGCAGTAATAGGAGTCTGATAATTATGGGCTGTCAAATATACAATGAATAGGTAATAACTGTTTAAAATACTATACAAAAATATCAATTTAACTCAAAAAATAAATAATATATCACACACAATATAATACATAAATTAGTTATGACTTATTCACAAAATGATAATACGTATATTTAAAATTTTTAATCATATAGGTAAGTAATTTGTTTATCTAATTAGATTCTCATTGATAAACGATATTGTTGGAAAATCTGATTTGAGGATGAATCTGATTTTCTTATTAGAATTCATGACATAATATTATAGACTTAGCATTTAAAATGTGCACCTTTGACTATCCTATTAGGGATTGATGTTATATCCTTATCATAATTACGCAGTTTGCATGTTAGTTTGTTACTTCTTCACGTCAAAACGACTGAAGAAATTTGAATCAGGAGTAGATTATGGTCTGGAGCCATACATAGGCTAATTTTTATCCAACGGGAACATGGACAATGGTGCTGGCAGAAGCTAGTACATAATATGGAAGTTATTTAACGCATTACCTAACACAATAGGGATGATGACAGGGTATGACAATTAAAAATCTAATTATTCCGTCAGTTAGTTAATTAAAAACTATTATACACATCTTTTTATATTTTGTCATATAAGAAAACAATACTTAGATAAAACGAATCAAAGTTTAGGAGTGGGAAGTAGCTACGTCATTTTAGAGTATAAATCGTACTCAAAAGTAACATCGTGTGATATTTCAAATCAATATATCTTCGAAACTATTCGTTTCCGTAAGAAAACAAAAATCACGTGTCAAATGTTATTAAATAATCGACCAGACGGATATTAAAATAAAAATTAATCATCTACCCTATTCGCGTAATTTATATATTTACTTAGTATAACAATAAGTGTTTTGTACACAAACAAATATAAGTATAAAGTTCGACCTTGGCTAATGACCGTCAGTTGGGAGCTTGCATCACATTACAAACGACCTTGATTCAGATCGATTGTTTGAATTATGTGTGTCCTTTGTATTGTCTGGTGTTTTGTGAAAAGCTAGAAAGCTTGACCGAATGTGTTATTGACTTATTTATTCATGTATTTTTTTATGGAGTATTTGTTGTACTTCACGCCTTTTAAGGAATACTAACTACTAACGTGCGGATTCATGCACTCTGTTCGGCTCCTATTGGTCATAGAGTAATGTTTTATAGCCTATAACTTTCCTCGATAAATCCACTATCTAACCAAAAAAGAATTATTCAAATCGGTCCAGTAGTTCCTGAGATTTGCGCGTTCAAACACAAACAAACAAATTCTTTTACTTTATTTACATAAAGTAGAAGTAATAATAGTATAAGATTTCTTTCAAGTACACCAAAATGGCATTAGTGAAAGTTAAAAAAAAAACAAACAATATGTCGGTAGTCGATCTCTCAGTGACATTATTTGTTCGGTCTAGAAGTGGGTTCGTCATGAACACAACGAACATGAAGTTATTCACTGTCACTATTATCATCATCATCAGTAAGTAGCGTCATGTAATTCCTTCCGTAATAATTTCTTAGAAACACATTATCCCACTTTATCCATGCCATTACCAAACCAGGAAAGAGATCAAAGATAGTGCCTAACTACTTACGGTTGCCCACGATTTCACCTGATGAATGCCAGGAATTCCCTGCTCATCCATCTTTAAATTTAAACTGTATAGAGGTCTGTATCTCTTTAGTTTATTTTTAACCAGCAAAAAGTAAAGGGCCGCAACGCACTAGCAACTCATCTGGTGTTGCCGGTGTCCTTCGACGACTGTAGTAGTAAGACTATATAACATATTACTAAGTACATTAAATCTTTTATAATCATATATGAAATATATCGTCATAGCCTAAATAAAGACAGTATCGTCTTAGCATTCGAGCCTTTCATTTCTCGTTCAACACGAACCTTACACGGCGCTGATTGCTTACCATCAGGTGATCAGTCTGATCGTTTGTCAATACTATAAAAAAGTAACTACTACCTGCCTCGGTTTCGTACGGGTTCTATTTTTCAACAACACAGTAAAACATCATCCAATTTGATGCAGCCGTTTAAAAGTTATGTGCGTGCAAACATTTCGTTGTAACTCTATTTTTACTTACACACACACTAAGACACAGATAGTTGCTTAGATACAGTATCAATGTATCAGCTCGGTTCACCCCACGACGACATGCACTTCTGCAAACCTTATGATGACAACTCCAATTTATTCTGTGTCAAGTGCGAATCAAATTGGTAATTGCCTTTGTATGCTTGAGAAACACTACACGTAGCACTACACAGGATCTGGATTGAACTGGATTTTTGTCGGTTTTTACGACATTTCTGTAACGTAAACTTCCTGTAGAGACGACAACGCATTCTTGATGCCTAACCGCGGTGTCCGCTTACCAATCTTTGTCATAAGTCCCATTCCCATATAATCAGGGACGAAACTAACAATTTCGAGAACGAAAATAACCACGAAATTATTTTCCCTACAAAAACATTATGGTAACCAATAATTATAAATCCAAGGATGTGTTTACAGTCGACTTGTAAAAACCACACGGTTCACGGCTGAGTGGTCTGCAATCTACGCTATGTAGCTAATCATCATCGGTGATTACTGCCGACAGTGGTATTTCAGCTAGATTTTAGTGCAGAAATTGCGTTGGAAAAACTAAATATACTCTTGTCCCACTGTGTATAGATTGTGTGAAGCATAATAAGAGAAAAGAGTTTGTGATAGGATGAGGTCTAATAGAGGAAAATAGCAAAAGAAGACATAACCGATACCAAAGGGGTTGGGTCAGGAAGAAGAAATTACGAAGAAAGTTATTTATGTGAAAACTTGACTGCTCTATTTGAATCTGCTTAGATTAATCTCACTAATAATATTATAAATGTGAAAGTTTCTATGTTCGGATATTTGGATGTTTATCCGTCAATCACGCTGAAACTATTGAACGGATTATGATGATATTTGGTATACAGGCAGAGTATGGACTGACTTAGGTGATAAGATATCAATTATTATACGTATTTGAGCATTTAGCTTCCATGGGATAAAACAGGATTCATATTCTACGCGGACGATGTTGTGGGCAACAGCTAGTATATATAGTAAATGCATTTGTCAGAAGTCAGAACAATATTAAAGTTATACAGGGAATAAATATTAGAATCACATCGTAAGCAATAAATAAAGATCGATAGATGTGAAGAGTTCAGGTCAGACGACGGCCTTGTGCCGGCTAATAGAAAGTTAAACGAACGAGCTCTAACGTATAAGATATCTAAGTACTTAGCATCGTTTGTAAGGAGGTTCATAGTTTCTTATTGCATGTATTGTATGTTGCAATATGAACAAGATGTGTTTCTTGATGGAGATTTGTTAGCCGTCGAAATTAATAAACGAACTCAGTTTTAAATCTTTGAATTGATCTAGGATTTTGAATGGTTGATGTCATATCGATATTAAGTATCGATATTATATCTATATCAATCGGACTGGTACCTCATTTCGACCGGAACTAAAGTGTAGTAGAAGTAAAAGTATTTAATTGTACCTATGGAGTTTCTTGCTTGTTCTTTTCCATAGGAATCTACAAATAGCTTGGAATGAGCAAATAGCTTCACTTTTAATATTTTGTTGAAATAAATGATTTTGACTTTGACTTGATTGACACATTAAACGCCCTGGGGGGTTACCGGTAACCGACGTTAAAGGATTTGCCTTCAACAGTTTTCTATTGGCAGTCAAAACCACCAGTTAAATATGTATTACAAGTGCTTAAGTATATTTACGCCCAATATTTATAATCGAAACCTTTAGACTTTGAATCGATCTCTGTCACAGAAAGTCCATACAACTAATACCAAAAATCGATCTTAATCCACAGATTTTAGGTCGAGATTGGTTATTAATTCAGGTTGAAAAAAGATACTTATGTATCATCAAAATGTATGTACAATCAACTTCTATTTAGTTTCGACAACAACTTATTCGTAATTTAGAAGTATTGTGAGATTAATATACCCATGGCCAAGGTTACACACAACAATAGCTACAGAAGTACACATACTTGCATCAAATTATCTTCGGATTATATGCTCTGAGAATGTAAATTGCAGTCGCATAATGATCCACTATATGGACATAGGTAGAATAAGTATTTAATTCCATGTTTGACAATG